CGACATTTTGAATTTTAGCTTAAATAAAGAAGCCTCCTTATGAAATTTCACCATATATATTCTATCAAAATTGTGTAAAAACTGAGCGTGAACAATTAAAATTAAAGCTGTTTTGGGAAATCTTTGTGATTTATTGATAATCGCTGACCGTGTGTGCGGTAAAAATTGTTAACGCCTCAAAACGCTGGAAATGCCTTTCCCATATGGAACTTATGGGGGACAAATAGTCCGTGATCACTCAAGCTTGACCTGACAGTCCGTATGAAGTGCCAAATTTGACGAAAAAAGGCCAGATTTCAAGGCTCAGTTGAAGAAATGCGGCGACATTAAAAACAATCCTAAAAACCTAGCACCGGATTTAAGAAATAAAATCTATATGCGACCTTTCTGGGTATTTTTCATGAGAAAATTCGAAAATCCAATCACGTATTTTTGCCCTTGAAGAGTTGAGGTTGAGCATTAAAATAGTATGGCGATCCATGTTTTCACCACAGTTCGCTCCAAAAAACTGGGCCTCGCGCATAACTTATTTTGTTAATAAAAAACCTAGCACCGGATTTAAGAAATAAAATGTATGTGTGACATTGCTGTGTATTTTTCGTGAGAAAATTTAAAAATCAAATTACGTATTTTCGCCTTTGAAGAGTTGGCGTTGCTTCGCATCCGTTTGCGTTTCGGGATTCCTGTCCCGACGATGAACGGATGCAAAGGAGACTACTTCTGTAGGCACAAGCAACAAAAATCAAACTTGAATTTTTCAAATTATTGCTTTCTTATTATATGTTGAAAATGTACTCAAAACTATGCAGTTTTGTGTTAATTCAATATTTGAAAAATTTATATCAGTCAGTGAATGTAACTGTGATATTATATGTACATTACATGTACTTTCCTTTCCGAGAGGTGACTTTGCTATTAATAGTATTTAATGTCAGATGATGATGTTAATGAGGTCGATCGAAGACAAAATATTAATTAACTCCATTGCATTATATTTCATGATGTAAATAAATAAATTACATGCATATATACATGCATGCATGGATGCATGAGTGAGCCTGGACAATAATCCAAGCAAATGTCACCCGATGTATGGCAATAAGTTCCATATGCGAAAGTTAAGATTTCAAAAATTTCCGAACCCCCCTAATACATCCTTGCCGCTAGCCCCCCAAAACAAAYTCACACTCCGAGGTCCCTGAAGCGGTCAGGGGGGAGTGATTCCGCCCGAATCCCCCTCGAGAGAGACTCGACATACTCAGTCAATTCTCAGGGTTAGCGCACTAACGTGTGTAGCCAGGCGTTCCTAGACGCTCAAAGGAAGTTTGCGATTTCTCCGTCACAAACCACCATGGAGCGGCTAGGAACGCCTAGCTACGAAGGCTATAGTAACGGGTTTGTACTAACTTCCTCCCCGGGCAACTCTTTTTTTCTCCTTTGGGCTTCCTTTGTAACGGTCATCTTGGCCATTAGGGACTAGCTCCCGTCACCATTCTCCCTCTTTTGACTCCGCAAAAAGACAGGAAGCCCGAGATTCTTAGTAATGACCGCGGAGGAGACTATAATTGTACATAGAGCCATAGTGCCTTTAGATTGTAAAATAAACGCGTTAGTCAATCGTCGTTCTCGCCATTTTTTTCTTTTTTTTTTGTCTTTTGGAATATTTATGAGGTATGGTTCCTAGACCTACTCCCATGTTAGACGATGTTAGACATGTTTCCTTTAGCACACAAAATAACCACAAGCTTACAATTTATCCCATTAAAGCAGACTTTAGTATTGCAAACTGTTTAGTGATCCCCATTCCCAAATTTTATCCTAATCACTAACAAAAGGCTAAATATTTTACCCCAGCAATAGAACAAGACCTTTAAGTCTTCAGTAACGCTCAATTAATCCATGCACGTACCACATAAACATGGACGATATTATATTGCCAACTACGCGCTCTTTGAGCTTGAAGCTGTGYTAGCTATTTTGGAAAATTGATAAGCCACTTGATCCGATGTTTCTAGGGCGTGAATAAACATTTAGAATTTTAAACTGCTCTTTAAATTAATAAACAAGCTATTGAAAGTAACGCATTCTTGCTATTTACTATACATAGAGATCAAGGAAAATAATAACTATTTTACGTCATAACTTTACTTCCATATGTAATCATATGTTAGACAGAATGTATTACATGTTCGCTTGGATATGAGAATTTTATCTTGTATTGAAAATCTTTGTCGCTCGTTCTCGTATCCCCGCACCCATGTATATCCTGACTTTCTCAATTTTCCGAAAAATATAGACCGACTSTACGCTCTAAGAGCGTCTAGTTCAAAAAGTGCGTGAGATTTAAATAAATTTATATCCAGTTATATCTAATTCGATTTTAATATTTGACGCGAAGCTATAATTAGGATAAGATCACTCGCCATTTCTCATATTCTAAAAACAAATATATCTAGATTTAAAAACTTGCTTGTTTTCCTTGCACCTTGAGGAATACTGCTCGATCTGAAATGCCAGATGGGATGCGATACCTTCATTACTTTCCATTTATTGCCTGCTGTACATAGACAGTCTACGTGGGATCATRGGACTCTCTGTGCCGATTAGGAACAATGAGCCTACATAGCAGCTGTGGTTG